TACGGGAGAGTATAATAAAATTTTGCATCATCTTGAATGATACTCAGTAGCATAATGATAGTGCCATGTAGCGTCTTTTTACCATCATCTGCTTTAAAAACGAGAAAACGTAATCGAGATGGAAATTAATTTTCTAAGGGTTAAGTCGACTCGGTCTACTTATTATAATTTTAGTAATGAAATTCCAAATGATCTAATAGTTCAGTGACTCTAAAGTGTATACACATTTTACGTAATATTGAAGCCAGTTTGTGACATTTAGAGATGCGGTCAGGTGTTCCATTAGGCAGGTAAACGGTTTCTGGTTTCATTAGTTCCTGCCTTGATGGAACAGCTGTTTTCTTCCATAAGCGTGAAAGTCTAATATTGAAATTCACTTGTTTCAACCAGACAATAAAATAATATCCAACACATTACTATTATTTATATTTTGTTTTTTGTTATCGTGGCACTGATTTTGATTTCATCTTTCGATGATTTATTTGTTCGGAAAATCTTATCCTCGTTTGGAATTCTATCATCTCGATTATCAATCACATAATGCTGCATCATCCCTTTTTCTTATACAGTGTTTTAGCTTGAGACTGTGTGTATTTTTTGTTTTGTTTGAGTATTAATGGAAAATCTGTACACCTTTTGAAAAAAAGACCGCTTTTGAGTGTTGAATGATGGTGCAGATTGCATCGGGGAAATCAGAACACACAGCAGGTTAAAAGCCCAGTCATAACTTGGTGATAATGATGTCATATTTATTAAGCTCATCGGGGTCGATTAATATAAACCCGACCAGGAATCTATTACCTAATAATCGACATGCATCAAGTATGTAACTATAATCCTATTGACTGGATACACCTGTAGAGTGTATATTGGAATTTTACGAGCGACATCAAGTGCAGCATGTTACGATAAGTGTGTATGCGTTCGTAAAAGGTTCATTTATCGAGAAAGAGAGAGATGTATTTTTCCATTTTAGAAAAAGAAGAAATATTTAAATTTGCTTTCAATTATAGGAATACTCTTCACTGCTTGTTCTGTCGTTATGTAGAAATAAATTTTTATTTACGTATACACGTGTAGTAATTAAGTTTATTACAACTCTCTACTCACGCATCAGTTTACGAGATATTTGATCGCAAGGTCACATCTCAAATTATTCATTTCTTCTTTTGGTGTTATTTCGGTATTTTCTTGATACACATTTAGTGATTATTTATCTGTAGTTGTAAAAATATTTTTAAATATGTATTTCTAAATTTTTCTCTAATTTTTTTGACTTTTCTGATGACTCTTGTTTAATGACACTCTCTTTAATATTTAACTGTACTTTTGTATAGTTCTTTGAAAAATTTTTATTTTACATCCTTTTGATGATCATTAAAACTTTCAGCTCGAGGAGCTATACAAAAAAAAGATAGTCAGACGCTAGTAACATATTATTAAAATTCTGTATACATTTTTTTTCGAAAATGTTTCTGAGTTATTGTTGATCAAGAAGGCAATCCGGTTTTATTCTTGTTTTAACGGATTCGTCGGATTCGTTAAATATCCGACTAAAAAAAATAATAAAGTTTCTCTGTAATTTTTGACGTTAATGAAGACAATAGATGGAAATGATAATTCTTCATTTCACTTAATTTGAGTAATTCGGTCTGTAGACGTTATTACGTTGTAGAATGGTCAGTGATATATCAGTACCTAGAGTACAATATCTAGATTGTAGTACAATTAGTTATACATATATCAACTACTCTGGTCTATAAATTACAAATTAGTTTTGTCATTGATAATGAATCTATGAATATAATTTCTAATCATTTATTATCGTTTAGAAACATTTATTAAATCTTTTAGCCACATTTAGAATCATTTAGAATCAATTGGAACGTAACTAATTTTTGTTACGATAAATGGTACAAATTGTTCAATTATCGTTTGCAATATTAATCAGGGTGAAAATTGAGTTATTTCATTTTTATTATGACGAAATTTCTGCTTTTAGAAAATAAAGTTTGTATTGTTGTAGGAAGACATTGGCCTTTAGTATTGACCTTCTTGACTGGATGTATCTGTGTACCAAACTGTTTTATACACTGTACCACAAACAGACGGACATTAGTAGTGGGGGTGTCCTGAGGGAGATTTTTTTTTCGTCTTTTCATTTCTGAACAACGCACACCTCATCACTGTTTTCCTCATGCGTCGCCATCCCATAAAATGTTTTTTTTGGTTCTTTTATTTTGCTCGAATCGCACGCTCAGCATAATGTCATATACAAAAGCGGCGTCACGAAAGAAACTTAACGTGAATTTATGTTTGAATCATTTAATTTTTATAACACTCTAGCAGAAACTGTACATAATACCTTGAGAAAACAATATAATACCTATAATTTTGAGAAATTGTATTACAAAAACAAGGATATTCTTTATACATTTAATATGAAGTAACAAGATGGATAATTATGATGGAGGACTATTTCGTTTCCTAAAAAAAATCTTTGGTGAATTGAATTTTAGGACTTAGATTCTGTTGGTTTTTTTTGTATTTGCAAAGGAATTTAAACGAATCTTTTTTGTGTCGAAAAGGGTCGTTTTTGGATGACATCATTGAAAATTGTTAAGGTTTTAATTAAGATTCCAGATCCTGTGTGACAACAGAATCGCCACAAAACTTAAATGCACATGAAAGATGACGTGTTCTTAAAAATAAAATAGCAAATACTCCAGGGCCTTTTCTGTCCAATCATCCTTTTAACGATGTCGTGTATTTAAATAGACACATGAAGTGCGTATATTTACAAGTGTGTTGTAAATTCGAAGATTTGACAATCAGCCCCTTTAGAGAGTAATTTATATCCTCCACTTCATTTCATTTAATCACTCGCACATATTAGACGTGCATTTCATATTGAAACCCACGCTATTTATTACGTATAGTCTTCCCTTATTTAGAATTTATTTAGTAATTAGAAGAAAATTATTTAGAGAAAATCAGGAAATAGATCATATAGTTTGAATAAAATCAGGAAATCGTGTATACTTTAAATAAAATCAGAAGATAATATATAGTTTCAATTTTAGTAATTGCAGTCTTTAGTAAAGTAAACTTTGGCTGCGGAAATTCTGATTACATTACATAGGAAACTTGCTGTGGAAATTTATAAATTGAAAGAGGAAAATAATATCGAAAATGTATTGAATAACGTATGGATATTGTAAATCTCGATATATTTCAAACTGACTTGACACACTTTTCACTAATAATATGTAATTTTGCCGCATATATACAGATCCTGATTCGTTGACTTATGCATTAGTCTTGTGTTATAGTTAGAAATCGGGTAATAAGTGTTAAGTGTCGTATGGATTTTTTTCTATGACATTCTTTGCAAAATTTTTTTCCTCTTCGCAAGAAAAGAAGTCGAGGAAGATAAAAATTGTCTTTCTTTAGTTGCGGTTAAAAAAAACCGTTCTCTTGTCATTGAAAAGATGATAATTGATGTTGTACATACGAATTGGTTTGAACTTTACAACATTATACTTCGAAACGAATTTATGGTTTTGGTTCTTCTCTGACAAATTTATGTTCCGATAGAAATTTATGGTTTTGGTACAACAGCATCTAGAATTGCAGCAATATTGTCAAAATTTGTTCAAAGTCGCTACTAATTCTGCAATGTTGCTGAAATATTAAAATATGGAGACAATATTTCTCAATTTAAATGATTCAAATTATCACCTCTATTAATTTTTTTACTTTCAAGTCAAACGTTTAATCAAGGTTTATTTACTTATTTCGCATTAGTTTTCATTTTATGCGAAATGCTTTGCATAAAAGTTGTCGTATCCTTTTTCTCTGGTATGAATCTTTATTAATGTAACAAAACATCGTGGGTTTTTTTGAAAAACATGTTTTTCAAAAACATTGTGCTATTTTTTAAATGAAGTATTGTTGCTGTTTTTTTGCTAATGACTTGAAAACTTTGTTGTTCTTTAATAGCTGCATATATTATAAATTACAATAGTAAAAGAGTCTATTATGAAATATAATAATAGAAGTGCATATATTATGAATTATTTTAATAATAGAATTATATAAAAAAATACTTTGTAAACTTGAGACATATATCGATAACTGTAAGGCCGGCATTCAGCTTTAATCATTATTTTAGTTTAGTTCTAAGAACTGTAATAAATTTAATGTTGACGCATGTTTAAAATGATAAAATATGAATTTCAATTGATCAGTTAAAATGAAAATGCTGCCACGTTTCGTTTCTTTTATGTATAAAGTTGTTTTTGAAAAAAATAATTTTGCAATTTGCAGTCTCTTAGCATTTGATTTAAAAATGCTTTTTTACTTTAGACAGTTTGTAAATTCAAATTTTATCTTAAACGCTCTGTAAATCTTGTTAAAATGTGTTTAAAAGTTCAGTAAAAATTGAGAAAGTAATTAAAGATTTAAAGAAAAATTTTTATTTAATTTAAATTATAATTTAAAAGTGACGTGTCAAATGATTTTTGAAATTTTAATTCAACTAAATGGTATATGGATTTCAATTCAGGAAGTAAGTTTCGGTTGAGGGTTAAGAAGGTTCATTTTCCCTCCAATCAAAATGGGATATCCGGGAAAATCCCTACGAGAAACATGACCGGAATGAAAATCGAGGGGTTTATTTCTCACATGGAAAGAAATATTGGTCGTTTCTATATCGATTGATCTTCTTCTTAATAACTTCTTGGAAACATTCTATAGAGGTAAAAATGACCTGAAAGTGGATAAATTTCGCGTGTATTTTATGCCGGTAATGGTATATCTACAACCCCTACTTTCAGCGAACGTAGGTCAATCGTTGGGAAAATGCTCTACCCTTGAGCACGTATGTCTCAAGAAGCGCATTTTTCTCAATTAAAATCCCTCTAACGAGTGAAGAGAAGTTTGTCTCACTTATGCCCTTCAAAACAACAGAATTTTTAGCGAGGAGATTTTGTACTTACATTTATTTTTTTTGTGGGTTTCCGGCACTTATAATCCAAAATCACAATAATAATAATGAAGCTTGCGCTCTAAACACAAATCAGAAAAAAAGTAAAAATTACTGTTTAACTATTAATGAAAACAGCATCAACAATAGTGTCATTATCGGTAATTATATCCTTGGAGGGAAAGTGCGCGTGAATGAAATGCTGTCACCTCGAAGAAAAGGAAGGAACTGCATATAAATGAAAACGAGCGGCGCGCTTTGAAACATCGACTAGCAGTTGAGCCGTTCAGCCGAATAACTGACGCCAGTGCGAAGCTCAACCGTTATCTCGCTCTTTCTCTTTTTTTCTTTCTCGCTCCCTTTTTTTCCCCTTAGTCCCTTTCTCTTTCACTCTCTTTCCTTATTCTTGTCTCCCTTCTTTAATTCGTATTTCTCTCTGTCACAGTATTTGTGTGTGTATACAGGTTCGGTCGCCGGGGACTGACTGGCGCGGCGCACAAAACGAACTCCTCGCGAAATCACGCTAACAGAGGAATAAAGCTAGAGTGAGTTAGAGTGAGTTTTCAGCCTGTTTTGGAGAGCGCGCGCCGCGCCACCCAGCTGCCGTATCGACCTCTCCCCATTGGATGACACATCCTCCAATAACAAAACTCGATAGAATTACGTCAGTGGGTATTATTGACGCCAAACCATCTACCGGCAACCCTTAAATCGTGTCCTTTTTTATTCCTTTGCCATGTCTTCATTTTTCCTCCCTCATTAATCCATTGAGGTGAACTTTATAACTATCCTCCTTATGCTTATCCTTTGGGGCGCATGATTGATCGTTTGACTTTTCGAGGGGATGAGTTCATCTTGCTATTTGGTCAATTTGTTTTTGCTGGATTTCTCATTTGCACTTGACATTGGTATAACAGGCTGCATGAAAGTGCAAGCTAAAGGTGTCCTCCACCTTGACACGTGGTCGTGGGAATAGGGAAACACGCCGTCCACCCTTCACCAATTTAATGGGGTATCTTACCACTGGAGGTCAGTTTGGTTGTAAATTATTACATAAGATCGCTTCCAACAAATGAATTCCTGTGAATTTTGACGATGTGAGAATTAATTTGACTGTCAAGAAAACATAATTAAGTTTCATCTTGAGAATTTAGATGGAGGTTTGTCACTAATAACTTGATTTACAGATAATATGTCTGTTGGTGAATTTATAAAGATTGGAAAATTGAGGATCATTTATGTTTTATTCCTTGGAACACGAAGGGGTCTGTGAGACCCTGTATGCACTTTTCAAACGTTTTTATTATTTCTGTAATTTACTGATGAAATTGTAGACTCCGTAGCATCTGCAATTGCAGAAATTTTTTGAATGTATAATACAGCTTCAAATTTAAATGTATAGGAAGTGAAAAGTAGATAAAAAGTTAGTCCCAGATTGTAGCTTTTAATAAATGTATCTTTTTGCAAGTAGGTCAGAGGTATTTTTTCTCTTTGACTATAGGTCTAGATGACAAGTGCCTGGAGCGTTGTCAACTTCGGAATTTCAGCAATTGAAAAATTGCTATAATATTCGAATATTAAGTCAGTGTTGTCAATATTTCTTCAAGTTCAGTTGTTATGGCTAAAAATAAGTAATTATAATGATAAGACAAAATTTCTGCTAGATAATGTTGATAATTCATCAATTCATCAAACATTGCTCTGTGTCAATAAGTAAATTTTTCTAAAGAATAATTCAAAATCTGATGCTTTGTAGAATCTTATCTTTGAATAAGATGCTTAGTTTGAATCCATTGAATCCAAGTACTATCTAAAAAACAAAAACCTCAAGGAAACTACATAAGTTGATGATCCAGGACATCCATAAATTTTTAAAGCTTAATTAACGATTTTTGAATATTTTTCTTCACACTGTTTGCAACCATCCTATAGCTCTTGCTCCTATTGCATAAAACGAATCAGTAGTCTTCAGAAAAATTTCACATTTATGGATGAATAATGGTAATACTAAAATTTATTACCATCAGAACGATCAGATTCTTTAGTGAATCTATTTTTACTGTCTAAAGTGTTGAAAATGCAAAAAAAAGGAAAAATTGAAGAAAATGCAAAGGGGGATATTGAATCTATTTTCTCGAGGTCTATGCACTCTTGTGTTCTCATTTCAACAATGGTCTGGGGGTCAGAATACACACAATGAAGACTTTCTATAAAATAGGATTTTCTCCTTTCGAGTTTTTTGAATTCAAAGAATAGCGATATATGAAAACTCGCAGCACATAAAGGTTATATACTTTAACTATATACGCGTACCGAGATTTTTGTATGTGATATATATATATATATAATAAAATGAAAAAATTTGTTGAACAACGAGACACTAAATCATTTGATGAAATTATTTCTGATGATTCATCCATGTATGCGTGTTTAGATTATAAATTGAAAAGTTATCTTAAGTAAGATTTGTGTACTTATTACATAATAGAGTATTCCACTATTATGTAACTATTTATACTTCCATTTATTTTCAATTTTCTAGATTCTATGTGTTTTCTCTGAATTCTCTTTCATCGATGATGGTTATTGCACTAGAGTTAACTGCACCTTTGTTTTATCTCTGGAAAAAAAGATTAGAAAAAAGAAGCACATACATTTGAGATATTCTGTGGGACTTGTAATTATGTGCATAGATCCACAAACGTTTTTTCTACAATATCTGCTTTTTTCTATTTCTTGAGGTGTGGAATTTTTTATGTAGAACATTTAGTAATTTTCATTTTTTTTTTCATGCTTCGTGAAATTCTAAAGTCATTTCGAAATTCCGAAGTTTGATTTTAAATATTTTGAAATGAAATATTACAAATTGGTTCTTTTTCTGAAGTGCATTTTTATATTTTTATTGCTGTTTCAAAAGTAAATAACTGTATGAAATAGTTAGTTTTTTTCAAAGAATTTGAGGGTAACTTAAGAGACATAAAATTTCAGGTGATGGAGACATACAAAGTACTTTTCTGTCTAATTTATAGTTTTTTGGATTGGGTCTAAAAAATGGGGATCGTAAAAGTCCCTCGTGTTTTCTACCCAAAAATGCTTGTAATCGGATTTTATTAAACGAAATCATTCGAGCAAATTATCGTTTTTGGTTAACAGAAAAACTTGTGTACTTGAAAATTAGGATGAATTTAAATTCTATTAAAAAGTAAATAAATATATTCGTATTAATAAATTATTTTTTAAATTTTAATAGTAAATTCTAAATTATATATGTTAATTAACAAATTATTATGAGCAGAATAGTACAGAAATAATTGAAGATTATAAAAGATATCGAAGGTCAATAGTTGCGTGAGGTTGTGCGAGTTGAAAAGTTAAAGTTGAAACACATGCTCAAAGAATGTGGCAGTGCCGCAGTGGCACTTGAAGAATGAGATGAGTCCCCATTTCTTTTATTTGATTTGAATTTGCCAACTTCTAAAAGAGCGCCACCCTTCATAATGTTCTGGTTAAACAAAGATCTTGTTGTAGGTTCATGTAATAAAGAAACCCCATTTTTTTACACGTGTAAGGAAAGTCTCAAGTGACCACTCGTATGTACTATAACCTCCCTCCTGATGTCTATTCTGTCTCTTCTTTTTCTTTTCTTTCATCCATAGTAATAAACCTATAGGATCTTGTTGGAGAAACTCAAGTCTGACAAGAATCGATAGAATTCAGTGAACAGAAACGAATCTTGGCACACAACTGTAATTGTGATTTTGGTGTTTCTCTTTTATTTATATATTTCTCTTTTAAAAGTCCGACAAAAAGCAGATGTCCAATTATTTACTTGTTTATTTCGATGATATAATCATAAATATACAATATTGGTATAGATTTGTGTGAAATTTTGATTTGAAAGCTTAGCTTATTTGAAATGTAATTTTCCGTCTGCTTTTAATTATTTTGAAATCATTTTGCTTTTATTGATTTAACAAAGTACTCTGTTACTAATTGAGAGTGTTCTATAAATGAAAATTATTTGTAGATGACTTCATCTCGTATGTCTATAAGTATTGTATGTTTATTCTACCATTCGATAAAGAAAATTCTTGTTCAAATAATTTGAATTCCGGACATTCGACCTAGAGTAAAGGTTAAATGACTCTTTACTAATTTAGATTCATTTTTTTCGGGTAAAGAAGTAAATTCTAAAAGTTGAATTAAAATTTGAACCCTTGGGGAATCGAACCCTAGCGATAAAGTCTACTATACTACGGCTCTCTGGAACTTGGGAATTGTTTGATACAACATTTGAAAATTTTGTACTGAGAGCAAATTTTAATCTTACAAAAATGCTCTTCTTGCGTTTCCCTTATTGAAAAGTGAAGAATTTAATTCTCGGTATCCCCCTTTTATCGTTTAAATGGATAAAAATTGAAAAAGTGTAATTCAAGGATACAAAAAAAAAAACGATTTAAACACGACATTTGATGACAATGCCGTTTTGGAATCCCTGTTACAATGAAATATTATGTCAAATCTTGTTCCAAGGGGGGTTGAGAATCACGAAGTTAATTGTTTTCTAGGTTGACTGCCATCCGGGAACACCCACTCATTCATAAATTCTTTACATTACTGAAACTTCGCACCCAACTGCTACGTCGGAGTCCCCTCATTCGTTATCTGTACAATGCCCTGAATGGAGTGCTTGAGAATGATAAAAAAGAAAAAAAATAAAAACTCGCAATTAGCTCGAGCTATTGAGAGGGTAATTGAATTTTTACAAATGGTTACAAAGTTTGATAGCGCTCTGAATAAAAGATTCATTTTTCATTTAATTGATTTTCATTTAAAAAAAAGAAGTTTTAATGTAATTTAGAAGTCGTGTTGAGGTTTCTTTTATCTTTTTAAATGAAAGACAGTTTGTTCGTATATGTCGAGTTTTATCAATTTAAAGTATTAGAAATAAATTAATAAATATAAGAAAAACTTTTATTACTTTTATAGTAAAATATTGCGCTATTACTGATGTAGTTTCTGCCTTGATGTTTCTTTTTTGTCTCCAACTTTTTGTTTCTATTTTGTTTTTTACTTTTTAGCTTTTTGTTTGTTTTGTTCATGTTGTGTTTAGTGTATGGGGCAAAATGTACCTCAAGTTTATGTATGCTCTCTAGTCTCCTCGAAAAGATGATGAAGCGCGTCGTCGCTTCTCTTTCTGTTTTCCTCTTCTTTTTTCTTTTAATAATAAAAAGTCTAGGTGTTTAGAATGTGAAATATAGTGAAGCTAAGAATTTTCTCTTTTCAAATTTCGCGCATATAGATAAGTAGTTGTGTGCTATTTTGCATGAGCTTTTTATACACAAAAACGTAAAAGACAGCTAGCCGAGAGCGAGACACGGCGACGTCGCAAAATTGAAAGACTTAAGTACTCAGTGTCGGGAGGACAATTTTTGCCAAATCGTCGCTTTTCAAGTTCTTATTATATATATGTATATATACTTGAATGAACAACTTCTACATTGTTGGTGTCTCTCTGTGTATTGAATGATAAGTCTCGACATTCCGTTTCTCATATTTCTTTACATCAAAGGGGAAAAAATTGTCAAAATAAGGCTTTTATAAAACTTGAATATTTTTTGTTTACAATTTTGCAGACGTTAGAAAATAATTAGATTATATTACGCATTACATAATTTATATTTAATTTAATTTATTTCAATTCAATTTAATTTAATACTTATTTATTTAAAATTTTAAATTCGTGTATATTGTAGTATTTATATAATTTTAGCCTTGGGTTAATATTGGCGATAAGAATTGATTGTCAATTTCCCACTGGGGTAGTTTTTGATAAGATCCTTGTTAAAGCCTTTCTTTAAATTTAGAGCAAATTTCGAGGATGGCGAAGACAAAAGACTTAAATCTTTGACGTGAGCAACAAAGCACTTTGTTTCCATTTAAATGCAGTCAAAGGTTTTGAACATAATCCTCTTTACTCGTTCTGAAAACACGAAACTTTGTTCCAAATAACAGCAACCGTTATCGGATTAACTTTTACATATTATATAGAATTTCGCAAAAAAAAAATGATTTTCTTTATTTCCTCTAAGGGTCATTTTTATATATAATTTTTTGTTATACTTAAAATATTTAAAACAATTTTTTATATGTGTTTTTCTGTTTATTATAAACGATAGGGAAAAAATAATATCCAATTTTTGAACTCTTATAAAACAGTTATGTAATTAAAATTTTTCAAAATGATATGGAATAAAATGTGCCATATAGTTAATCAAAAATTGCAGGAAATAATAGACGAGCTATGTAATAGAGTCGAGTCTTTAATTAACGCTCATAATTTCTGGTCTCCCTCTCTCTCTCGCTCTTAGTTATATACTATACTTAATTGCTTGAATCATTCACCTCGTTGCCAATTTCGAAAGGTCCTGAAATCTCTTTAGGGTGGAGTTTAAAATAGAGTTAATAGACGAAGAAGGTACATAAACACTGTTAAGGACGAGAAATCGATGGCTTTTATGGTCAGGAAATATTACGCAAATTAGTTTTGAATTATTTGTTGATTAAATGCGTTATTTCCTCGAATATGTGAAAAGGGCAGAAAGTTAGATTGCCTCGATGAGCGATAGTTTTAACCTTTAATATAATAAAGATTCATTATTTTTGTAAGAATTTTTCCAGAAATTTATATAGAAAAATTTGAAATTTATATTTCAAAAGTTATACTAAATTTGTCTAAATTAATGAATTATCAGTAGTATTTAATATATTATATTATATTTTATATATTATTCTAATTGATTTAGTATTCGTTTAATAAAATCTGATTCAAATAATTCTATCTATGGTAATTTTTTGATAAATGCGCAATTTTTTACTTATAGTTTATTTTATTGCATTGGAACAAAATTATGCAAAAATTATCTGTATAATCGGACGATAAAGAGTCTTGAATCGCTGGTTAGAAATGAATGATTTTCTTTTAGAAGATATTAATCTGTAATTATTGAGATCATATACGAAAGGCGAATATAATGTTGATTGAAATTCAAGGATATAACAAACATATAACAGTATTACGATTATATTTTTGCAATCTCAGGAAAACATTCGTTATTTGTAATTTATATAGCAAAGTGTGTTATAAATGTTCGTGTATAAGTCCTAATTTTTCTATTTTGAAATTGTTATTTTTTTCTTTTATTTGTTAAACGCGATTCTAATTCTTGAAATTATCGAGGTTTGCAAATTCTTTTGGCAGTTAAATAAAGTTTTGTTTTGCAATAATAAATTTTGTGCGACTGGAATTGTAAATATTCTCTTAAGCTTATTTATATTTTGCTTTCAAGGAAAAGCTTAATAAACCTATTTTAATGTTAATTTTGATTTAGAGAAAACGCATGATATATTATAGTATAAGAGTTGAAATTCTGTTGAAAGGTTTTGATAAATAATGCGCTGTTTATTTTAAATTCTGTAAAATTCGTAGAAAAATTTACAATTTCGCAAGTTCTTTTTTTAAATTTATATATATATTATCATCACTTTTGGAATTAAGAAATTATGAAAATAATATCTCACTCTAAAATGCAAATTTGATGTGTTGTTGAATTGCTTCTTCAAGGACAATATCTGTCGCTCGGTTTGTGTAATTTATTCATCTCGTGGAAATTTGTTCATAGGAAAAAGTTTCTTGCAATTACTTATCGCTTCGGTAATTTTATTCCTCTTTTCTTCGCTCTTGATTTGATTGAAGACTATAAATTGAAGGTGATAAAAAATTCAATTATTTTGCATTGACGATTCTAGGGATTATATGGTTTAATGAAAAGTTTTTTGGCAAGCGTTGGAATGAAAATATTTTTGACGATTGGCCTAATTATTATACTCAAGCTCATTACTGTTTATCCTAAATATTATTTGATCAGTTATCGAATTTAGTGATTTTGCGAATTTTATCTAAACGTATGTCTGATTTGATATTTGATACATCTGAGACGACTTGGATTGATTTAATCTTTTAAATATAAATAATACTTGATAGAGAAGAGAGATAGGGATTTTAAATAAAATAAATTTAATATGTAGTATATATCGCTTTAATAGCGACAATAATGATAAATCTCTAGAAGTAAACGGATGTGTAATGCAGTGTAAATCAACGGTACAGGGCTGGAGGCACTGGAAAAGGCACTTTATTGCTGGGAGGATGCTCTTACTGCATTTAGTTCGGCTTTGAACAACGATACTTTGGCATTACCATCAAAAGCCGATGCGGCATTCACTCACGATGTTCAAGAATTACTCGATTTGGGATATCAAGTGCAGAACAATGCAGAACTTCTCTTTATTGATCAGGTGAATTTTTCAACAAAAAATTAAATTTTTTTCTTTTAATTTTAATTATTAAATTATTAATATTGTCAGTATTAAAATATTAATGATATTAATATTATTTTAATTAATTACTATTTTTATTTTATTGCTATTGTTATTTTTATTCTTTTATTCAGTTGAATTTGGATAAGAGAGAAAATTATAAGTTACTTGTTATAAACTGCAGGTTTATAAAATTGATTGTCAATTAATAGATTTAAAAAAAAGAGAAAAAATCTATAAATTGATTCAATTTGTACGTTAATTGACTGGTGCAATTAACGTAATAAGTCACTTGATCTTTGACGGAGATGAGTGATTATACAGCTTTAGTTCATGAAAGAAAGTACTTACTCGCGTATAAAGTCTGAGAATTTCCACGCATCACTCTCTTTCTCTCTCGTGCGTTCTCACTATTTTTCTTTCAAAACAACAATTTTTGTAAAAGGGGTGTAGTTGAACGTAGAAATTTTATAGTTCAATGTTTAGAAAAATTAATTTTTTTTAAATTTTTACGTTTTATGTGGAACATGGAAAGATTTGATTTTTAATTTTTCCTTTCACTTTTTTTAGAAAAGGTAATTTATTGTTTCTTGGTGAATATTTTTACATGTGAAATCAAAAATTGGTATTTTAAATTTGGTTAAAATTTATGTTTTTTATTTACTATTTTTTTTCTTACTTTTTATTTACCATTATTTTTGTTTTTCCATTTTTCATTTACCGTTATTTTTGTTTCTATATTTTGTATTTACCATTATTTTTGTTTTTCCATTTTTCATTTACCGTTATTTTTGTTTTTATATTTTGTATTTACCATTATTTTTGTTTTTCCATTTTTTTATGTTTGTATTTTTTCATAAGTTTTTAAATATTGTCGTCCTGTAAATTAATTTAATTAAACAATATAAGTTTATTGAAATAAAAATATTGAACCAAATTTAGAAATGATTTTTAATTTCTCATAAATTTGTTGTATTAAATGAGTGAATTGTTGAACTAATAAATTTTCAATGATAATTTTGCAGCATTCTGTACTTTTTCGAAATGACACTGAAAGTGAAGAAAGTCACAAACCCTCGACAGTGGGGACTCATCGTTTGTCGACAATTAAAGATAAACCTGAGGCTGCATCCTCACCGGAATCGTTTGCATCAGCGAGGGACGGTGTAAGTGTAAAATAAATAATTTAAATTTGAAAAACAAGATGGAAAAATTAATGTTCTTAATTACTTTTCACAGGTTGCAGATCTACGTGAATTTGAAGAGTTTGCCGAATTCTTTCCACATTTTGAAAAACAGAAACTTTATCACGCTGCTCTAAAACAACACGAGGATAAAGGCGTCACATGTCGGTAATGATTATTTTCATTTTAAAGCAGAAAAGTGTAAATCGAAATTGTTTTCTCTTTTAGTTATTTGAGAAAAAATTTAAAATTTGATTATCGCAAATTGAAAAAAGTATTTTGTCTCACAAGAATAAATATTTCTTCAAGCAAATTTTATTTTGTTCGAATAAATTTTACTCTTTCAACTATATTTTATTTTCTCCAAGTAGATTTTATTCGATTTTAATAAATAAGATCCTATTCATAGAAATTTTATTTTCTTCAAATATAGATTTTGATCGATTGAAATAAATTTTATTCTATTCAAATAAATATTGCTAGATTCAAGTAAATAAATAAATGTCTAGTAAATAATAACAAATAATTTTATTTGATGCAAATAAAAATTTTACTTTCGACAAATAAAATCTTATTTCATATAGAAAGTAAGATTTTATTTGTCGAAAGTAAAATTTGTGAAACAAGAAATAAATGTTATTGTATAGGCCCTCTGGAGACAATTAATATTTTATTTTATTCAAATCAAATAAATTATATTTTGTTACGAATGAAAAATTTCTCTGGATTATATTACGCGTAAATTTTTATGTGAATTTTATCAAGTGTAAAGTACTCTGTTGGCTCTTTTAATTAAAATTTTATGGCTGACTCGCAGCTAGCAGTAATGTCATTAAATCTGTTTTCACAATCGACTGCTAATAAAAGCAGATTTTTTTTTCATTTAAATTATAAAAAAAATAAAGAAATTAATCCTCGGATTAACTGCTATTAGAATTTTGGTGACTTTAAAACATTTGTTAGTTGAGTTATGAAAACGGTGCGGAGTCTATAATGAATACATTTTTTAATACCTCATAAAAATAAACTGTCAATTAATGTGGGATTTTTCAATTCTCAATGAAAATTTATTATTTTTGAAGTCAATTTAAAAACTATTTGTGAGATTAAATTGCGCTATATTTTCTCATATTAAGTATATGATAATTCCAATAGTTATGTATGTCATAAATTTTTCCTGACTGGAGGAATTTTTAGCAATGCGCGGTTATTTACAAATTATATAATTTAAATAAATATGATTTGTAATTTTTATTTTCTGAAAAACAAAATGTTAAAAACGATTTCCTCGTTTATTTTTCTTCTATGTATATATCAAGAGAAATTTATTTTATTATTATTTTTATGTTTCAAGTATAATTTATTTTGAAAAATGTAAATATTTATTTGAAGCAAGTATATCAATGTATTTTTTCTCTGGTTGTAATCGTTAAATTGTTTTCAATTTAGTCGACTTCACACGGAGTTGGTGAAATGTGGCTCAGACGTTGAATATTTAGCAAAAGTGCATTGTTTACGGCAGGCGTACTCGAAACTTTTTGGTTGGCCTGCTGCAGCAGCTTGGATTGCAGACGTAGGACGGCAACTTATAAGTGATTTAATTATCTTCGCTGATAAGGTTAATTTTTCATTCAATTTACAATTATTTTTTTTAATTATCAGTATATTAACTAATTAATTAATTAGGTCAGTTGTCTAATTAATTAGTTTTGTCGAACAGTGTGTTATCTTAATATTTTATTTATTTAATTTTATAAATTATTTGTATTGAAATTTTTTTTTATTTGATTTTTTTATTCTTACATACAAAAAAATGTTTTAGGATCCCAAAGATTATTTAGTCCATTACGAACGAATGATGGTGTTTTTGCAAGATAAAAAGAATTACAGTACAATGCAAGAGGAATTATCTGGGAGAGGTGTTTTGTGTTTAAATTTCTATGACGTTCTCATTGATTTCATACTTCTCGATGCTTTCGAGGAAGTGGATAAACCTCCGTCTTCTATTAAAGCTATTCTTCAAAATCGTTGGATATCCGCCAGTTTCAGGGAAACGGTATAAAAACAAAATTTCTATGGATTTCTATTTTCTGAATTATAATTTATAATAATACTTGAAATTCGCACGTATAATGGAAGATAATTTAAAAAATATTTTATTTTCAGGCGATAGGCACTGCCGTGTGGTCCGTTCTTGTGGGCAAAAGACAAATGCTTAAATACGATAAAGGATTTTTGGCACATTTTTATTCAATATCAGAACAAGTCTCGCCAGTTTTGATTTGGGGATTTCTAGGACCAGAAGGAAGTTTACGATCAACTTGCCAGTATTTCAGGGATCAGGTTATAGAATTTCTAGTAGATATTTTCAATTTTTTTAAAGTTAGATATACGACTGTCGATAGTCTTGCTGAAGATATACTCAGAGAGATGAAGGTTCGAGTTGAAAATATTAATCAGAGACTCTCGTTGGAAGGTTGTTGAAAAAATGGAAAAAAATTTCTATAGTATTCTATAAAAAAATTGTCTTATTCTAGGATGATAGCTTTCTTTCCTAAATAATTCATAAATTACAGAAAAAACAGAATAGTTTACGACTTATAAATAATTAATTTGTCAATGAAGAGTTTGATTTTTTTTTAATTTCTTTTTTTTGAAACAATCTAGTTTATGGATTTATTAATTGTTTGTGTAACAAATGAAAAATTTGTGTATTGTATAGAATTTTTGTTTTTTGTATGTTTCTTTTTTGTAAGTAAATATAAAACTGACGATAATAATCTTTCTAATCTTGCATTAATTATTAGAGTTGAGAATATATATAAATTTTTACAAAATTTCAAGTAATCCTTATAAGATTTTGACATACTTCCTGATTGTTTGAATTTATAAAAATTATTAAACAAAATTTATCAGAATTTTTATCATATTGGGATAATTTTGTATTTATATTAAAAAGAAATTCAAAAAGAATATAAATTATGTAATATGTATATGCAGAGTTTGTTAATATATAAATTAACAATGGTTACCATTCAACTTTGTTATAAATTTCTCAAATTGCACGTAACAATGGTAAATGTTTTGGATAAATTTAGTAGACACTTTTTCTTGTGTTAAAAATATTGTATTAAATACTTAAAAGTATAAACAAAAAAATATTTTAGTTTATTGCTCAAACATTCCATTAAGATTCTGTTTGAAAATATAATTAACAAAAGTAACGTTAATTCATATTAAAAGAATTATCGTCAAAAAGCATTATGAACAAATAATATTGTAAATGATTTACTCAATAAGACGTTTTTTTTCATACTGGAAAAAATTAAATTCTGAATAATTGTTTACTAAAATTGAAGTATTTTTAATATAATTATATGTACATCTTTTTGTATAATTAAGTCTTAGCCAAATATAATGTAGATTACTCGAAATAATTTGTGCACAATAGTCGCTGTTGTAAAATTAAATTTTATTTAAAACATTTATTTTATAGTTTATTCACGATACCAGTTTGATTATTTTACGTAATGTTTATGAATATGACTTTTGGAGTCTCGATTAAATTTAATGTATAGGTAAAAAAATACTTGTGTATTAAAAATAAACTTTTTGAAATAAATTTATTTTTTACTAAATACTTCTTATAGTAAAAAATTATTATTATTATTGCCAAGTATTATATAATTGTATTATTATACAATAATAATATTTAATTGTTATAATATTTATATTTTGCAATCTAAGGGGAAAAAATATTATTTCCGGTTTAATTAAAAAAAGACGGTCTCATCAAATTCTATAATTAATCGAGACTCTATAGTTTAATTAAAGGCATTTCTGAGATAATCTGTGTCATCAAACTCGATTTCTCAAATTACAAATGAAAAAAAATATGAAATAATTACAAAATTATTATTTATTTCAATGATTATATTACAAAAATAATAATTACGTCATTATTGCAATTTAAATTTAAGGTATGAATATGACATAGCTTTTATGTATTGAAAATTCAAGTATAATTTCTATTAGTTTTTTCTTTTATTTTTTTAACAACAATTCATGAAATTGTAAAATATCATCTATAACTTCGAAAATTGTGTATTTAGTTAAATATATATACACATACTCCTTTTTTAACATGGTTAATTTTTTTCTATTAAATTTTATAGTGTATCAAAAATATTATTGAGGAATCTCGATTATGTGAAATAATTCGGGCACAATGAGTCTCAGAAGAGAAAATATTTCAAAGTAATTTTTTAATCCTAATCGAAATATGAATCGAAAATCTCGTCTTCAGATTCTCCTTCATCGGAACTTGGTTCATCAGGGTATATGTGTTTAATGTTGTTTAGTTTTTTGTAGGCTGCTACTAATTCTCCTGCTTCTGCATTGAAATAACATAATTGAACAATTTTTAATAATAATTAATTAATAATTATGTTTATTAATAACATAACAATTTTTAATAATAATTAATTGATAATTATGTTTATTAATAACACAATTGTTTACCATAGTTGACGGGATATTTGATTTCTTTTGGTTCATTTTTGATCATTCGATCAGGATCAATTTGAATCATTGGACTTTTTTCTTGCTCAATTTGCAATCTCAGCCAGTCGGTGCCTAGATGACCCTTAAAAATTTTAATTCTCACTTCTCTCTCGGTTTTTGTAGTTATAGTCCTCTCTGCTATAACTGCTCCAAATAAATTTATGATAACGTAATATTTCGTGTCGTTGACAATTGTACTGTAAATGAAAAAATGTTCCATTTTAAAGAAGCGTTTTTTACATAATATTAAATTGAACAGTATGAATATAAAATTTAAAAAATAATAAATGAAACTATATTATAATACGATTATGAAAAAGTTTACAAAAAATAAATTTCATAAGTACCTGAAATGTAATTGTTCTCTGTCAACTCGTAAATAATATTTATCTACATCAATTAATTGTATTCGCAGATTAACATGATAGTCAGTTTGATACCAAAGAATTTTTGGCATTTTTAAATCAGTTGTAAGTGTTGGAATATTCATTTTCATAAATTCGAAATTAAGAAATCAGTCTTGTTACTGGTTGGCAGGTTGTGAATATTTTTTGGTTATGTTTATTAGTTTATTTAACTTCTCTACTTTTTATTTATTGTTAATTATTAATGGCTAAACGGTCAATATAGAGAACATATCTCTTATAAAGTAACTTTAAAAAAATGTGAGCTTTATACAAAAAATAGTGGAAAAAGATCCTACCGAAAGAAAAGCTTCTTGATTTTTTTGTTTGTTTACATTTACTGGCTGACGAAAGCTGCGCCTCTTGCAAAAAATATTGCAATTAAAAATTGTTAAAAATTGACATTTAAGTTGCAGATTTTTTTGTCAGATGGCGTTACTTAATTGCGCATGCGTATTTTTGAAATTTTTTCGTAAATACAAAAATGGCCGTCGAAATATGTCAAATTCATTGTTTAAAGTGAAAAACTATTTTTAAACTTGTTATTACAGTGAATAGGTGTATATTTAATTTCTCAGTGAGTAAACGATATTAGAGAATATACTTGAGGTGAAAATTAAGTGTTTATATGAAGTATATTAAAAAATTGGGATTTTACAAGAAATGGATGTTGATATCATTTACTTTAGAGTCTGTTGAGTGAAATTTGAGTCTTAAGTGTTATATATTCAAAAGTTTTTTTCAAAATGCAATGTAAAATCGACGATCTTCCAGATGAAATTTTAGAATATATTTTGAGTTTGATACCACCTTATAAGGATTTACAGGAATGTATGTTTGTATCTAAACGATGGTATCGGGCAACTAAAAGTAAGTAAAAGGAGATTTTTTTAGTATATTTCTATTTAATATATTTTATTTTGTCTTTTTTTGCTTCTATGCTAATTATTTTCGTAACAAAAATTATTCTCTCGTTAACTAATATATTTTGTTTGTGAACAGATGTTATCGAACATAGTGAGACACATTTTCAAAAATCTGTTTCTTACGGTTCATTATTTTGGAATTCTGTATCGCCATCTCATTGTCCAATAATATCCAAGAGACATTCACATTCGGCTTGTACGTATGAGAATTCGATGTATATTTTTGGCGGCTGTACAGCAACGTGCACGACTTTCAACGATTTATGGAAATTGAATTTGGACACTCGAAAATGGGTGAGACCGATTACTATGGGAAGTTATCCGTCACCGAAGGCTTGTGCCACTATGTTACATTACAAGAAGAAATTTATTCTTTTTGGAGGCTGGTCTCATCCTTCTCCATATCCCGTTCATCAGGTACTTTATAAAAATTCGTATTCTTTATTTTATTTATATTTATGTTATTAATTAGTTATTTTATTATTTTTAGCAATGGAAATTATTTAATGAATTACATGTCTATTCGATCGAATCCAATCGCTGGAGTGCTGTTTGCTCTTTGGAAAGTCCGCCACCAACTTCGGCACATTCGGCGACAATTCATGGGAATTTAATGGTTGTTTTCGGTGGCGTTTGCAATGGTTATAGTGGCGATCTTTATCCCAGTTCGAATGACATTTGGTGTTTGAATTTAGATACTTACTGTTGGCACAAGCAAGCGACATTTAATCCAAAACCGCAAGCACGTTACGGACAATCACAAATTGAACTCGACGAAAAGCATCTTCTTATTCTTGGTAAAATTTAAAAAAAAAATAGAATTATGCAATTGCATATTTCTATTTGCATAATTCTAATTTTTTTCTTACTGATTTTTAGGTGGATGTATTGGACCTAATTCCCCAATGGAAGACGCGTGGCTGTTGACAATGGAAGATCCAATTTGGACATGGAAAAAAATAAATATGCGAAACACCGAATGGGCTCCGTCTCGTGTTTGGTGTCATCAAGCTTGCAAAGTATTTTAATTTACTTAAATTTTTCATTAATTTTAAATTCTTTTTCCAAAGTGGACAATTTTAAATTCGTCGAAATGTTTAATTTTCTTATTTTTCAGGTAGGAAATTATATAATTGTTTTGAGTAAAAGTAAACGTCCCTCACAACCCAACGAAATGAGTATACCTCAAAAAAATGTTGCCTGCCAACCGCCTCAACCTTCCGAGGTTACTTCGAATGAAAGGTAAATGTTTACCAATCGTAATTTAATTAACAAATTGATAATTAATTATTAAATTATGAACTGAAAAATTAATTTTCATTACAGGCGAAGAAGTGCACCGCAAGAAGTAGATCGTGACGAAAATGTAAACGGACGTCATGGAATATTTTCGAGATTAACAACAGAACGTAATGGACATTTAAATCCAACAAATCCCACATTACCAAAGAGAATGTCATTTTATAATGACAGTAATTTGAGTATGGCTGCATTTCGTGGCGAAATAGTGAGGGCAAATTCCAAAGCAAATCGTCAACGACAATTGGAATCGTTGCGTCGTATGGAGGAGAGAATACAAAGTCGTAAAGTTCAAACGAAAGCGGTAAAAAAAACTGAGAATACTTTATCGATATTTATTCTTGACATCACAAATGTTTTGTGTGACGATTGCACGGCATCGTGGATGCCATTAAAGCAAAATGGACAATCGGGTCCTGATGAAAGAATACTTTATTCCCTTGCACTTGGACGTGGTGAATTAATTGTTTTTGGTGGCATACGTAAGGAAAGGACGACAATACAAGGTCTACCAGATATTGACGATTCGGAAGTTTATAATGATCTTTATTTTATAAATCCACCTCGTTATGTGATATAATATCTAATTATTATTCTAAAAAAACAACAAATCATCATGTGAGACTGCTTTTCTAGTTATTTAAGTACATTTGCTCTTCTCTAGTATTCTCAAGAGGTGAAATGCTCATTTACGTAATATTTGAAAATGAAATTGTAATTATTCAATACATTCGACTTCTCAATGCTGCCTTTTTGTACTATAAGAATATTTCTTTATAATTGAGAAAAAAGCAATGAAATCAAGAAGTGAATTTCTTTTCAATGAACACAAATTAAATTAAATATAAATGTGAATCTGAGTGTATGGAAAAAAGACACTTTTACATCTTTCAATTGACTGTTTTTAAATAAAATTGTGAATTATTTGTTTTACACAAAAATTAAATAATTGTGTGAAACTATATATATATATATTATATATAAAAGTTGATATGTGGAAGTGTGTTGTAAATAAGTTCAAATGTGATTTTATATTGTATAAAATATACATTGAGAATTAAATTCTTTAATTGGTCGTTACGATACTTTAATTAATTTTAATTTATTTATTAAACATAATCTAATTATTAATTTTGTTTTTTAGTTTTAAAAACAATAATATAATAAAATTAGTGATTTTACTTAGTCGTTAATTTCTGAGTTAATTAATTTTAATAAGATTTTATTTTCTTAACAAAATTTTTATTTATAAGTTTCAATTTAGTATTGTTTTATATGACAGTAAAAAAAAGGTTAAAATGACACAAGTACGTAAAAAACGCTTTATTAAAAAATATTACAGACTTGCTATTCACGAGCTATCATCATCGTCGTCTTTTTTTCGTAGACTACCAAACACTTGAGATGGTATAATCTGTTTTTCTATTGGAATATCTGAAATAAAATTCTTCTGTTAGATCTCTTGAGAGAAATATCTTCTTTTTTTAATTTTATGAAATTTTTCAGCGTTTAATTTTTGAGTATTAATTAAAATTCTGTTTCTGAACATTTCGAAATAGTTGAACATGTATTACCTTCAGTTTCTTGTCCATTTTCATCGACCTCGTCATCATTGTCGTCATTATCGTCGTCATCGTTATCCATATCCATATCGATATCAATTTCGTCAGGATTAGTGACTTGTGGTTCTGCTGTTTTTCCACCTTCCGTTTCACCGCGTATAAATTTAATCGTATTCTTCGGTGCTGGTGGAGGAGGCATTTCTGTAATTTTATTAATTAAATATTAATAATGAAAAAGTTGTTTTTTTATTCTCAAAATTAATGGAAATAAAAATACAAGTTTTAGAGTATTTACCAGATACTTTGCTGTCCAGTAATCGCATTGCATCCATAGGTTCAGTAATTTGGCTTGTGGCACTATTTTGCATTTGTGCAGCCATCATATTCACGTTCGTATTGTATTTAGCTTGAACGCTACGTTTTATTCTCAACATTTCACGCATTGTGTCCTCATTTCCATGGCGAACCTCGAATTCTTTCCAAACTTGCCAAAAGTTTGATGTGGTCTAATTAAATTTACGTACATTATTAATATTTTATTATTTATGAATACTTTTATTGTCAGTAATTTATTGGCACTCATTTTTAATTAGTTTTTAAATTCTTCTGCTTACCCGAGGATCGCACATTTGCGAGCAAAATGCATAAATTGCTCTCGAACGATCGACTTCTCCTAATTTAGTTTCCATTTCCGCAAAACGCAGACACATCTCCCTCGCATTTTCTTCGGTAAGAACTTCGATAGCTTTCTCGTAAATTGTCCTTGTTTGCGGAACACCATAAATATTTGCCGCTTTCTGGATGTAGACGTTAAACATCTAAAAATAATTGTAGTAAATTAGATTAATTATTATACTCAAAAGTGTTGTATTTTTTAAAAAAAAATTTGTAATTTTCTTCTTTGGGATAATTACCTCGAATTTTTCTTCAGGTAAAACAGCATCTGTGGCACGTTCATAGACTGACATTGCGTGTCTTGCGAGACCATAATCCTCCTCCAATTTTGCGTACAATAAATATAAATCTAAAATTAGATTTTTGCGAATTTAATTATTAGCGTTTTAAATTATCAATGAGTATGATTTAGTAAATAGGATTAGATTAGTAAAAAAGATTGGTATAAATTAAATTTAGTAAAATTTATTATTGGGAAATTAGATTTTAATAAAAACTCACTTTTGGCGTATTTCGGAGGACAGTGTTCGAGACATTGTTCAAATAAATCTCGCATACGTTCCAATTTTGTTCCCTCGTAACGTTTTTTAAACTTTTGCAGATAGGTGTTCCATATGTCGTAAACATTCGGCCATTTGAAGAGAGCAATTCCTTTTTCGTAAGCCTGCGATTAAAAAATCAATATTAGTTAAAAGTATAAATTAAAAAAAACGCAGAATAAAATTCTTTCGTGTAAATGAAATTATAAAGCTGTCCGATATTTACTCTGAAAGCTTCTTCGAAGTAATTGTTTTCTTCTAGAAATACTCCATAGTTTATAATAATTTGAGGTGTTGCAATTTTTAGGTCGATTATTTTGTCATAAACCGCTTTACACATCTGCAAAAAGAAAAATATATTAAAATTGAAATAATTCTTATTTGTATATTTGATCTAGTTAAAAATGATCTAATATTCGATTTAAATTATGTTAATAGCAGTTCTCATGATTAGTTCGATTAGTTAGTTTTTCTTATTGTAAAATTACAATTCGAATAATTACTTTAAATGTTCCAAAGCTCTCCTCCAAATCCGCGTACATTGACCAAACTTTTAAAGATTTATACAATCTCATTTGAACCGATTCATTTTCGTCGTGATAGGCAACTTTCCGTGTTGGCATTGCAGTCGCACGTTGCATGAGTCTTAAGGCCTCTGTTATATTACTGAAAAAAATAAATTAGTTCCCAAATTACGCATGGCAGAAAATATTTTTCAAATCGCACTAATTGATTATAAACTACTACTTAAATTACTTACTACTTAAATATAATTGATTTAAAAAAATAGTTTTCGTAAAAAGACTTACTTGTGTCTAATTTCCATTTCTGCCCATTCACACCAAACTGAAGCGAGATCGTCTACTTTTAAATATTGAACGAGAGTTGCTTTTTCAAATACAACTCTCGCATCCGGTATTTGGGAATTATTCTCATAAAACTTGGCAAATTCCACCCATAGTGTGTGCAATTTTCCAACGGCTAATTCTGGCTGGACTGTACTCACTGCCTCTGTGTACGTATTGATAATCTGTAATTTTAGAAAAATATTTTTATTTTACAATTCAAATTAATTTTTTTAATTTAAAAAAAGCGAAACTTTTTTTTAATAACTGCGTCTTTTTTTTACCTCGTGCGGTTCTCCTTCGTAAAGCGTAACTCGTTTATGCCATTCTTGAACATTGTGAGGATTTTGTCTTAACATTACAGAATTAAGTAATAATAAACGTCTCTCGAGGAGATTTTCATATCGAGCAAGCCTCAATTCTTCTTCTATTTCATCTGCAATTGATTTTTATATTAATTCAAGTTCATTTTATGAAAAATTATTTCTAGTATATTTCTAATTAACAGATAATTTGAATATTTCAATGTAAATTAGATTAGAAAAAAATTTGTTGATTTATTTCATTAGTTTATAAATTTGTTTTACCTTCTTCAGAAAGATTTGGACTGGTTACATTTTCTTCTAAAACTTTCTTGTAACTCAATTCTTCAAATTGTGCGTATGCATCGAATACTTGGGTAAAATCTCTTACAGTCTTGACAGTTTGTATAGCTTCCTCGTAGATATCTCTGGCCTGAAAAATAAATAAAGATTTTAGTGCTATTTATTTTCATAATCTTTCTATGAAATCGAAAAAATGGTCTTCCTCTCATACATAAATTCTGTTTGGGAGAAGAAAAGTCATTATGGTTTAAATTAATAATAATTGGATTGAGTTAGAAAAATTTTGAAAATGTAAATTTGAAATTTTTCCAAAATTGGAAAATAAAAATACCCTCTCGAAAAGTCCACTGCGAATGTAATAATCGGCTAGGGAATTCCACAACGAACCCAATGAATCAGTATAACGTCGAAGACCACCTCTTATAATTGCATCGACATTAAGTGTTTTTATTTGTGTCGGGTGTTTCGATATTAAATCACATAATTCGGACCATAATTGATGCTTGGATTTTCCGTGCTTTGAAACAAAGTCATCTTGATTAACAATATGCGCAAGTTGAGTTGCAGATTCATCTAAACGATCTATTGATATCAGATACTCTATGTAATCTTCCGTGTCCTCTGGTGCCATCTGAAAAATTAATTAATTCACTTTTCTGATTAATATTTTAATGAAGTATTAAATATATTTTAATTATCACTTGCCTTGAGATATCTTCTGAAAACTCTAACGGCAGTCTCGGGAATATTATGCATTTTGACAAAATTTAGGTAAAGTGGCCAAATTCGATGATGTTGAGTGATTGGCAATGCCCGGAGAGCTTTGTCAAAAACATGACGTGTTTGCGTTATAAAACCCTGATCTGTCATAAAGATACAATAGTTTATCCATATCCGAGGCATTTTATGCATCCAAACTAATGCACGTTCGAAAGCATTGGCCACATCTTCGTAAAGTGGATGTTGTATGTTTCCTTTGACTTGATCCTTCAATTTTTTCAATCGTAGTCGAAGATAATTGTTCCACAGTTTATAACTAAAAGAAAATTAAAAAGTATTATTAAAACTCATTGTTTGTTTTACAAATCATAAACGAGATTAAGAAAATATCTCGTTTATTGTAATTAGATCTTTCATTCTTTTAGAATTAAACTTTGAATTTGAATTGAATTCGATTAAACTGATGATTCGAATTAGATTTTTGGATTTAAATATGTAAAATATTTCCTACCTTCCTGGCAATTCTTTGAGGGCACGTTCGTAAACAATATTCAAATTGGCACTCTTTGTTGCTTTCAGATGATCAATATATCTTTGCCAATGTTTCACTGAATAAGGATTTCGTAATATTTCCTCTTCGTAGGGTAAATCTTCTTCATTTTGTAACTAAACAAATAAAATATATTTTTAATTTTTGGAAAATTTAATTCACAATCTGAATGAAAAACTCGTTTCAAAGGAAAAATTCAAATAAAGATGAATAAAAAATTATTAATTAAACTTGAGAGTATTTAAAAGATATACTTATTTATAATAAAAGACATTTATAATAAAAGACATTTATAATAAATATATATTTTAATTTTTATCATTATTTCATTGTTTTAAAGTAAAAAAACAGTATTTTAGAGGTTAGAAAACAATTACTTACAAGTGCTAAGGAATTTTCACTAGATTCAGCCATTGTTTTTTAATTGTAAAATTAAAATTTCTTATACACTGTACATAATAAAAATTAATAAATTAAACGCCGCAAAAAAGCACTTTCTTTTGCAATTAATAATATACAATTGTTAACGTTTTGTATCGTGTCAAAACTTGCTTCGGCCATATGGTTTTTTAAATTATCAATTGTCGGTAACTACGTAGCTTACGATGGTAAAGTAGTTTTCGTTGCGGATAGTATTAATGACGCCCGGCGTCGTGAAGGCGGCGCAACAGTCGCACAATCGAGTTGGCCGTAGAATTGCGGACGACAGGACCAACGAAGTTAACGCCATTTTCTGTGTTTGCGGGAGTAACTTAACGCGAATTTGAGGAAATGTTTTAAATATAAATTCTCCAAGTTTTAAAGTGGTGCTCTTGTGAATTAGTGTTATGTTTGGATACAAGTTCCGTCAATTATTTGATATGGTGAGTAATGTTTAAATTGATTGATTCCCCGGTTGGCTGACAATCTTGTCACTCGGTTTTTTGATCCTTTCTTTCGTGTGTTAGTGTTAAATTGGGATGGGTCGCCTACTGATAAGTGATGAATTTTATTTAATTACATTTGTTATCATTGATTGAGAAGAAAATTGTGTGTTTGATAACAATGGGATAATTTATAAGTGAATGGCAATTGTTTGACGATCGGTTTTTTTTTTGTTACAAAGTACATTAAACACCGTAATAAGACACAGGGGCGTAGGTTCCAGGCGGCACATGGCTGATGGGGCGCCGGCTATGCAGGGGGTGGTTTTCCTTTTTGTCACAAGCATACATACGTGTATAAAAAATCGTCCATTCGATATATTTAACCTGCCACTCCCGATTCATTATTCGTAAATGTGCTTTTACTACTTTATGGTGAATTTCACGACAGGCGAAAGAAACAAAATGTTTTAAAATTCAATTTTTTCTTCTTTATTAATTTTTTAATGGAGTTTTAGTAAAAGTGGGGAAAAAACGTAATTGATTTTACGGCTTTTAAGTTGTTGTTTACGTTGTGTCTTTGACTTATAATCATTTTGACAGGTAGGAGATATAACATTGCGTGACACTGATAGATATCTATTCATGCATGAGAGACATATTTTCTATATACCCATATATAGTAAAGAATTTAAAATTATGAGATCAATACAGGTTTTTTGGAAAATTTCACTTTTTGGTTCAATGACCTGGGATTGATCTTATTTTTTCCTGTCAGTGCTTTAGAATTAAGAGGGAAAAGAGAGAAAGAAAGAAGCCACAATTAAGCCATTGGCAAGCTACTGTTTTGTAAATTGACGAGTGAAATTGATGATAGGGTCATCTAATCATTTAATTAAGCGTCGATTTAATTCTGCTGCATTGCTGACTTCTTTATTACAAATTAATAAAGTGAGACATATTGTGGAGCCTCATGACAATTTGATTTTTTTACTCCGTTTTACTATTCTTGAGAAATTGTAATCAATTTTGTGATAAGAATATTGAGTGTTTTATCTATACACTTGCTGGCCTGCCCAACCATTTAATGAGGCTTTTAGTTATCACTGACATACATTTTATTTACTATGTTCGATACATTTTTTTGAAATTTTTGGGAAATTCTAGTAAATCACGAAGAAAAATTTATAGAATTTGTTTCAAGTATTGTCGTTTTTATTTCTATCAAGTAAATAATAAATTAATAATAGTTAAACAATAAATCAAATGAATTTGAAGCGATATTTTAATTTTAAAAAATTACTATTTAATTATTACTATATTTAATTGACTCAAATAATAATTATTTGATAAAAATACAAATTTATTTGACAAAAAATATAATTACTGTTAATAGCTTTAAATCTGAATTAGTGTGAAGTCGACTGATTCATGTTATTAGGAAATTGAAATGGTTCTAAGAAAAATGTACTATTTCATTAATTTCAATTCTTTTCCTCTAAAGTTTTAGTGTGAAATCAGTAAAAATAAATTGAAATTATTACTAAAATTAATGAACGACTTTGCATTAATTAAGATTTAAGAAGATAGTTCTTTTATGAAAGTAAATAATTTTTGATTAAAATAAATATTTCTTGTTATAAATAATAATTATTTGAAATAAATCAATATTTTTAATGTAAATAAAATTTATATACTTATTGTTTATTTATAAATATTTATCAACGAATATTTTATATTCGTCGTTGATAAGAAAAAATATTTATTGTTGATAATAATTAAGTGAACGATTATTATTTGAATTGAGCAAATTTTCTTCAGTGAATTTCTAGAATAAATGAATCGATTTTGAGTAGTAAATTCTCTTACAAAGGAACAAATTTTTATATTATAATTATCTATATTGATCTTTAAATTCAGAGACACTTTTGCTGAAACTCAAAACTTGTTATTGCTGATTTTGAAAAATTATTATTCTACGTTTTAAGATGCAACAATTCGATTAAGTTCTTGATTTTTCTTAAACAAAGAATTATCGCATAAATTACGTGTAATTCCAAGAAAGGTATATAGACTATTTTATATATTCTCTTGAGTGTGATGCTGGAAAGAAAATTTCTCGGTTAAAAAGCTGAAGGACAAATGACGTGACTACTTATTCTTGGCACGCTTTTACATAGTTCTATATAGAATAAAATGAAACTGTTTACTGTTCTGGAAAGAAGAACAAGGCGATTTTCCAATTTTAATGATATAAATCATGTCCAGCAATTGTTTTACATTATTGGCGTTGTTTCTTCCTTCAAATTGGATAGAAAATTGAAAAAAGTTTTTAAACTGGGATACAGATTTTTTTTTGTATATTTCTATTGTTGTTATAATTTTTCAAATGTTTATTATTATCTATTAATTTTATTTTCCTAATTTGGAAATTAAATTAATCAATTTAGTGCTGAAATTTATTTACTTTTATACATTATTTTGAAAATAGGGTTTTGAGAAAGAATTCGGTTTTTTCTGTTTCTGACAAGTCCCTTTTAGTTCTATTTTAATTAGGGCAAAGTGGGGCAATTGTTACACGGAATATTGAAAATATACAACTGAAAAAATTTATTTGATTCAAGTGTAGTAAAGATTTAGTTGAAAATAATCATTTTGAAGAAAAACAATTTTTTTCTTTTTATTATCAATTTGTAAATTGAATATTTGTATGATTTCCACCTTAAAAAATTAATTTACTATCGTTTAAAAAAATTACGTAACCCCACTGTTATTACCCGAAGGAAGGGAGATTTAGACCGGTTTTACGATAATTATTTATATGAGGAAGCGAAAGATTAATTTTAAATATGACTTAACGCATTGTAAAATATTACAAATATGAATTTTATTGTTGATTTAATAATTAATTATTCGTATTTTTTGTAACATTTTTTTATATTGTATTTTTTATATTTGTATGAGTTATCGTGATTTATGATATAATTATATTCATATAGTTAAATAAAGCAGAAAGAATATATTTGTCTCGGAGTCTACTAACTTATTTACTTATTTTTTAATATTATATTATTTTTAATTATTTAATATTATAAATATTAATTATTTTTATTAGGTTTTGAGACAAATGTATTTTTATTTAATTAAAATAAATTTTATTCGCTTCAAATAAAACATTTCTGTCTGTATGTATATTCATAGGAAAAATAATCTTCTTTCACTTATTCCGTTTTTGAAAAGCATATTCGTTTTTAAAAACTTAAATGAAATAACAATGATCTTATAGTTGAAAATTTTTTATGATTCAGAAGTTGAGTACCACTTCCACTCTCTGCGTTTGGAATAATGAGTCTTGCATAAGAAAAGCACGTGCTCGAATATTTACTATCGAATCGTCATCATTGGATGTTTCATGTTTGAGAAGCATGTCAAGAGATATAGCCATTTCACTTCAACTATAAAATGCACCTTGCTTCTTTGTATATACCTATAAACGTATATATTATGAATGTATCGTTTCCACTTATTTTCTTGTCTAAGGTGAAACTTCTATGCAAATTGGAGTCGCGAGAAAATGAACACAAATACCAGCTTGACCAAATAGAATTATTTACCGCAGAATAAAGCGAACGAAAATTGCGCACCGCGAGAATAATTTCTTTTCTGTCCAAGGGGAAAAAATTTATATTTTAAAATTTCTTTATTTACGAGTGTGAAAAATTGTATACTTAATATTTCACTGTGGAATTTTTCCTTTTTTGTTGTTAGTTTTTTTCCTTTAAATGTAGCGTGAAATTTACTGGAATTTTAAAAATTGCGGTTTTTGGCGCACATAAAATTTCTATTACACAAAGTAAAATTTAGTTAACGTGTTAACTAAATGTGAAATTTTTATTTACGTTAAATAAAATTTACTTAATGTAAGTAAATTTTTTGTGTGCTAAAAATAACATTGTATTTGTGGTAAATAAATATTTTAGCTAGAGAAAAGAATCAGTGAAAATCATTCAAATTTTTATTGTTTTGCTTTGGAGAGGCTTTTTTTATCTTTTTTTTTTAAATCTTGTGCCTTTGGTGAAAAAAGATCTACTCTCAAAAATATAATACGCAGTAAAAGAGGAAAAATAGGAATGTAAATCACAGTATTTATCTTATTAGGTTTAATAGTTATGCATATACTATGCTGTTTATATTCCGTTCGTGGGCCACCATGCTAGCCCATCTGGTTCTTTATACTCTTCCTAAGTTCAAATAGTTTGTACTTGAATTTTTTTTCAAATTGCTATTATATTACCCTCTTACTATATTATATTATTATTATTGTTAAATTAATATTATTACTATTGCTAGTATCATTATCATCATCATCATCTTCATCTTCATCTGTTTTGAAGAATTTGGGTTAATTCCATTATATGAAGTTATTATTCGAGAGAGTAATTAATTAATCCAAATGAGAGATATAATTTTAAATACTGTCGGCTTGGTATAAATTTTATATTTACCCATAGGTTTATTAGTTAGTTTAAAATTTATTAGTTATGTTTATAAGCCGAATCCCAATATTTAGAAAATATCTACTGTTGTAATTTAAAAGTATTTGTTTGAATAATATTTTTAATTCAAAAATTTATTCTGTTTTGATTTAAATTAAAAAATATGTTTGTTTCAATTAAACTTAAATATATTTGTCTATGTATAGAACAGATATTTTAAGTTTGATTCAAAAATGTTTGATACATACAAAATTACAAATAAATGGTTTTCTCAGCGCTGAATAAATTATTCTTCTAATTGTCACTGATTAATTAGCGCGTACATGCTACTTGGAATCATTGGTATAATTATCGTTGGGAATCAGTGAAATTTCGCCAATTGAGATTTAAAGACTATGGTAAACTCATGTTTCTCTGTGCATATCTTTCTTGTTTCAAATCAGATTTTTATGTTTCAATTTGCATATTCGTTTGAATTTTGTCGCATATGTAATTCTATAATTC